GTTAAAGTCAAGAAGGGAGTTGGTTTGGCTTGCCCAATACCACGAGCAGGAGCCTTGGTGCCATCAACAAGAGTAACAGAGGGAAGATTATTAGAAAAGGTAAGGGAAGTAAAAAGATCCTTATTACCACAAAGATGATCAGTAGCACCTGAGTCTATTAACCAGGGTCCAAGAGATGATTGAGAAAAACAAGCAACATGATTACCAGTAGCGGGAGTAGGTGGCTGAGAAGAACTCTTCTGGAGAAGGGCCTCATAGTCTGCAGCGGAAATAGTCACGATCCGGTAGAGGGCGGCACGACATCTGTTTGAGCAAAGTTCATATGTGGTGGCTTGAAGTGAGGGTACTTTCTGTAGCAACGTTCTTCAATGTGGCCTAGACCGCCTGGGCCATATGATGTCATGGGCCCGCGACCGCCTTGTCTGCGGCCACGACCACGACCGCGTCCACCATTATTCCAATTACCATGAGAGACTAAAGCAGCAGAATCAGACAAAAGAGCAGTAGAGTCAGTAGCTGGCACGTGTGCGGGGGCCACCTTATCTTGAAGATTTAGAAGGCGCTGAAAGGTTTGGGATATGCTAGGAATCTCAGTACTGGTTAGAATGTTCTCACGAACACTTTCTAATCCGTCAGGGAGACCAGAGAGAGTCACAACCATAAAGAGACGCTCCACTTGCGTCCTGTATACTGTAGCATTCGCAGCATGAGGTAACATAGCCAAAAATTCCTGCATCAAAGAACGAATCTTACCAACATAAACTTCCATACGAGCTTCGGGTGATTTACGCAAATCCATCATCTGGGAGACAATGGAATAAAGTTGCTGAATATCATTGGTGTAGAGGTTTTTGGCTTCCGTCCACACATCATAGCAGGTCTCAAAGGGAATGAAAATATTGAGAAGGGATGAATCAATAGATTGCCAAAGAATACTGAGGAGCTGAGCATCAACTCTCTCCCATTCAGTCATCTGATCTGTGGAAATATTAGTCTTCTTAGTGGTGAGATGTTTGTCATGGCCTTGACCGGTAAACCAGATCTTAACGGAGGTAGACCAGTTCTTGTAAGTGGCAGATCCGGTCAATTTCAGAGTTGTGATAGAGGGAATAGCACTTGAAATGATGCCGGAAGGATATTTACTGGTTCCTTCCATCAGGAACAGCGATCAGACAACAAAAAAACGGTAAAAGTCACGCGAAAAAGGAAAAAGTAGCGACTTTTGCACTGGAACCCCTCGAACGGAAGAGACCCACAACGAACGAGCACCGGATCTGGAAGGAGGAGGCAGAGGCGAGCCTGTCTGCCTTGGTTTGGCCGGAAAAAGTGGCCGGAACAGTGCACACGCGCCGGAGAGAGGTGGCGTGTGAGGCCCATGCGCAGACAGCTTTGGTGGCGCGTGGAGGCGCGTGCGGCGGCCGTTTGGGACGAATCTTGGACAGAAATGGTCGCCGGCGTGAGGGGATCCTGATCGCGTGGTTTCTCGCCGGAAAGGTGGCCGGAACAGTGTTGAACAGTGACAGAACAGTGTTTCGGGCGATGTGAACAGTGTTTTCCGGTCAAATAATGAAGGAGGATGACGATCTGAGATCGAAAAAGGGTATAACAATGTTCAGAGGGTTGAAAAAGGTTGCCGGTATGACGCACGGCGGTAAAAGGGTTTGCCGGTATGATGCACGGCAGTAAATAAGAAAAGAAAAGAAAAGATATATATGCGGAAGCAGAGCCCTCAGATCGAGAGCTCTGATACCAAATTGAATCTGAAATATATTGTATATTCAAGTGTATGTAATTTGTACAAGGAGGCTCTCTATTTATAGAGACTACAAAACCTAATGGGCCAAGCCCACAATCTGGAATATTCTAGACTATTCTAATAATAATAAATTAATATTATTTCTAACAAGAAGGATACGAGCATTTTCAATGAGATGTCGGTTTTTACGTTTAGCCACCGCATTTTGTTGTGAAGTGTGAGGACAAGTGGTTTGATGTAAAGTACCTTGTGTAGTCAAGAAATTATAAAAATAATAGAGATATATTCCTTAGCATTATCACTACGTAGAATACGAATAGAAACATCAAATTGAGTATGAATCTCAGATTTTTTTTTATAAATGGAAAATAATTCGGAACAATTTTTCATTAAATAAATCTAAGTACAACGGGAATAATTATCAATAAAGGTAACGAAATATTGAAAACCTAAAACATATAAAGTACGACTTGGACCCCAAATATCCTAATGAACAAGAGAGAAAGGAGCATCAACTCGTTTATTGACTCGACTAGCAAAGGAGGAGCTTGTATGATTCCCTTACTGACACGACACACAATCTAAAGACTGAATACTGGATAAAAGAGGGACCATCTTTTACAACTTCAAAAGGCTTGGATGACCGAGGCGACTCGAGATAAGTTGTGGAGATTCTGTGAGAGAGTATGCCACTGAAGGACGAGGCACAACCAGACAGTAAAGCCCCCATGACTCACGACTTACTCCAATTATCTTCCCCGTACCCGGATCTTGCACAGAAATAGAATGGTTATAGAAAGTAATGGTGCAAGTGAGGGAGTGGACCAATGGACCAATTTACTAACAGAAATTAAGTTATAAAGGATGCCAGGAATGTAACAAACAGATGTCAAGGTCAAGGTAGAGGTCGGACGAGCTTGTCCAATCAGCAAGGGTAAAAGAAGGTAACTGATCAGAATAAATAAAAGATTTAAAGAGTTCCTTATTACCACAGAGATGATCGATAGCACTTGAGTCAAATATCCAAGGGCCATGTGATATAGGATGAGAAACACAAGCAACGGGATTACCAGTATCTGGAGCGGTAGACAGAGGAGAAACCTTCTTTTGAAAAGTCTGGAGTGCAGCATAGTCTGCAGGTGAGAAAGAAACTGAACCAGAGGATGCAGTGTCTGATTGAGCTATATTCGTAACAAAAGATGGTCACAGGTGAGGATACTTTGTGTAACGACGATCTTCAAAATGACCAAGTTACTGACAATAATTACAACGAGGTCTCTGACCACGTTGGCCTGGGCCCCGGCCACGACCGCGATCACATCTACTGTTCCTGCGAGTGTCTGTATGGGAAACAAGAGCAGGAGAATCAACAACAGAAGATGAATAAGGAGCAGAAATTGGTTTCTTGTTGAGATTCAAGAAGCGTTGGTAGGTCAATGATAGACTAGGATCCCCACTAGTCAAGATAGTGTCACATACATCATACTCCTCGGGAAGACAAAAAATAGTGGTAACCATAAAGAGATGTTCCACCTGTTTTCGATATGCAGAAGCTTCAGAAGGGTATGGCATCATGTACGCCTGCATCAAAGATTGACTTCTGCCGATATATGTTTCCATCTGAATATCAGATGATTTGCGCAAATTCATGAATTGAGACATTATAGAATAGAGCTCCTGGATATCATTAGTGTTGGGAATATTAGAATTTTATCTATTTATTTGTAATAGCTAGAATACTCTAGAAGTGTATTTTGGGCTTAGCCCATTAGTTCTTTCAGTTCTCTTTAAATAGAGAGCTCTTGTACATATATTATACAATTAAATATTACAATTTAATATTATTAAATTCAAGTTGGTATCAGAGCTCTTGATTTTGAGGACTCTGCTTCCACAAATCACCACCACACACCCTGTTTGCCTCTCGACGCCACTGGAAAAATATTCCGGGGACCTTTTTGGACCGTGAGGACCCCTATTTCACTCTATTTTCTCATACCTATCATTCTACGGAGGTTTCGTTTTCAACGACCGAAACAGCTCCGGAACAAGAGTACAACACTGTTCCGACGCCAAACCAGTGACCTTTAGACTCTGACTAGCCACAGACAGGGTCGCGCTAGCCGGACGACCTCACCGTGAAAAGCCTAGCCCCAACGGACCTGACAAGCGCCTCCACGCGCCACCCTCCTCTCTGCGCGTGAAGCCCACGTGCCGACAGCTTCACCGGCGCATGACGGTGGTTCCTGGCCTCAGACCACTTCTGTTCTGCGCGTCTCTTTTTGCTCTTCCTGGATTTGTCCTTGTTTATTTGATCCGTAATTGTTCGTTCTAAAAAAGGAAGATCTTTTACGGTTCCGATCATTCTTAAAATAATGCTTAGTCTACGGTAACTAATGGTCTCATTACATTGATTATAAATGGAAGTGTGGTGTGACTGTTACAACATGATAAAAAACTAGTCTTTTTCTTTTTTTCAATTGGCAATTGAACTGTGCACCATTTGGTCAAAAGGGCTAGATGCCATATTAATTTGCCAATGCAATCTATAAACCTAGAAGTATGAGCTGGCTTCTTTTTTTATTTTATTTTATTTTTTGAAATCTCTAGCACGTGTGATTGTATTGTGGTTGTTGAAGCCTTTCTATGTGAATAATTACCTTATAGTTCATTTTGACTTTTAAGTTACCATTGATTGGGTGAAGATTTAACTGGTGTCTGGTCATTGTTTGTAAGACTTCAAGACTCTAATATGTAAAACAATAAATCCTTTTACCCACATTGTTCTGTGTGTGACAATTTTTAATCATTATGTCATACTGTTGAGATATATAAAATCATTAATGTAGCCTCGCCCAACAGCTTAAGCTTTTGGGTTGAATTGGTTCTTTACATGGTATCAGAGCCTCGATGTACCGGGTTTGAACCTCACCGCCCCCCACTTTCTTTCTAGTGGAATTTCTTTCTTCGCACAGGTAGGTGGGCCTTGCATTGTCCACTCTTCAAGTCCAGTGGGCTCTCGTATGAGGGGGCGTGTTGAGATATATAAAATCATTAATGTAGTCTCACCCAACAGCTTAAGCTTTTTGGTTGAATTGGTTCTTTACACATATAATACGTAGTCCTTTTTATATATATATATATGCCATGAAGACTTTATTATGATAATGGGTATGATTTATATGTTTATTGTAACATCTTTACTTTATACATGTCTTACTGTGACGGAAATATCCCTTTGCAGGCTGTTGGACCCGGGCTTACCTTCTATAACACATCAAAAGATGTAGGTGAATTATTAAACTTGTCCAATAAACTTCTACTTGCACAGTTGGATGCATTTTGCAGGTGAATTCCTCTTGTTAGTGGTGCTTTATTTGTTTATGGTGTTAAAGATATAAAGTTAATCGCAGGCCTATACCTAACCTCTTAATCTGGTTAGAGTTGCTCGTTTGACATGTTGTTGAAGCCTATTTGAGTTGTAATATGATGAATTGGTTAGAAGTTTGATCTTTGATCCACCCTAATTCATAATAATTGAGTTAAGCTTAGTGTGAAGTGGGGTTTGCGTTGTCCAAGTCCAAAGAGTTTGTTTAAGAGATATAAAACCATTCTGGAGACTCCATTAAAAGCTTAAGCTTTTTTAGAAAGTTGGTCCTTTGGAACTTGAATTCTTTTTTTGCTGACTATTATCGTAGTGTCCCAGTGAAAATTGGTTGAGCAATGTGATTTGTTTCTGTTGAAATATGTTGTGTCTGTTAGAAGTATGTACAATAGCCAAAATCTGTATATATTTTTAAGTCAATTCCAGTAAAACAGATACCATAAATTCTAAAGTGTACTTTGGAGCAAGAGAAATTGTGTCCTTATTCTGTTATAGCCATTGCTGAGTTCAGATAGCAAATCTCGTTGTTATAACTTGAGCAAATAATACTGTTTGCTTTGCCAGGCGAATGTCAATATAGTAATTTAGATTTATGAGACGGTTGTAAGGCTCCTTATCAAAAAAAATTCCCATATCTTTGTGCCTTTTTTTCCTTCAGCTAAGAAATCTTCTCTATTTAGGTGAAAGAGATATTCAATGCTCTTTTTTCCTACTTTTATTATAAGTTTCCCTTATTGTGACCCTATTTTCACATTCAAGTTTGATTTATCTGCCAGAGGCCTATTTCTAATGATTTACTCTGCATCAGTTATAGTATCTTTGTGATACAAACCTTCACCCCAAAACCTAGCTTATAAGGTGGGAGGGGCTACAAGTCCCAGATCTTGCAACTGGATTGTAACATCCCACCACGCTCCGCAACCTTGGCGCTCACGCGGGCTGACTCAGCGCTTGTTTTTTACTAGCACTGGGCGAACTCTGCAATGCCAACATCATTAGTTGCACCGCTCGATTGTAACTGAGAGACATAGTGAAAACTCTGATACCAATAGATTTGAACCTTGGGAGAGTCTCACCCCAAAAGCTAGCTTGTAAGGTAGGAGAGCCCAAAATCCATATAAATCCCATACCAGAATGTTTCCAATGTGGGACTGTTATCCCATACCTTGCAATTGGATTATAACACTTTGGCTAGTATCCGAGTGATTTTCTCGTACTTTGGCTTTTGAATATGTCTACTTCTTTCCTTCCATATCATATGAACTAGTGCCGGAGAAGATTTTCTTTATGTCTTCTTTTTTCCTTTCCTTTGGCTTTTAAAAAAATAAAATAAGAACTTGATGTTTTTGGAGGCTACCCTATGTTAATTTATTTATTTTTCTTGCTTTATTTTTTATTTTTTAATTTGTCTACGTCAATAAAATGAAATAGTTTAACTAAAAGAATTAATCTTGCATTTCTTACCTAGGGAATGATGCCATATGCTCTGTATATATGTTTTAAAATAGTAATATTCAAATATTTTTTTTTCTTTTGTATTCTTGCGATTTATTGTAATTGGCTTGAGCACTATATATTGGGGTGTTGCAATTATGGGGATATAGGTAGAATGTGAAGAAAAGAGAAAATTAACATTGAATAATATGAAATTGGTATTGATTTGATGCATATGATACGAGACAAACTACATAACATTAATTCCTATTTATACTAATAGTGTCCTAATTAAATAGGGAAACAAATCATGAAATATAAGGAAATATGAAAGTCAATCCTAAGATTTTATTAACTATTTAAAATATAATGATAATATTGTAAGATATTTTCTAGATATTTTAACGCTCCCCTTAAGCTAAAACATACTAAACTTTTAGATTGTTACAAATGAACCCTTTGAAAAGGAAAAATAACCAAACAAATATAAACCGGGAAAAAAATGTCTGGGGAAGACTGCTCTTGCAACAAAGACAAATCCGGAATGCACCTATAATCAAGACTGACAGGCTAAACTGCATTACACCTAGGACAAAGACCGATGGGGCAAGACTACATATGGGACAAGACAGGACTAGATTGTATCTGGGTCAAAAGGTTGAAGGAGCTGCGGTGCGGCCTGAACCAACACGAAAAGCCTAAGTTGCTACTTCAAAAAGCTTCAGCATCTGTCCAAGGCCAAAAGGGTCAAGATTCCAGGAAAAGGAGAAGGAGATGACTACTATGCAGCAGGCAACTGGGCAAAAACGGGTCACTCTAGGCAATGGAGAGGTGGGCTGGAGAAGACCAAATTTGGAGAGAAGATTTTGGGTACCCTGGATAGCGAAGGATAGGGCTAGGTGAACACCAAAAGAGGGCCAAAACAGGTGGAACACCCTATATCTATGGAGAGAAGTCTAGGGCGAGTACTGTGCGACGATGGCGACTTGAAAACTTGAGGCACACGTCGCCCAAGTATGGAGTTTGTTCAAGGTGGGTGTGCTTGGGATGGACCAAACGCAGAGAAATGCTCTAATACTGGCCACTGGCAGTTGCGGTGGCTGGAGAAGACTTGCAAGATAACTGGACTAACGACATGACAATGGACAATAATGGGTGACAGAGGGAAGGTTGCCTGAAAGACAACACGACAAAGAGACGACTAATCAGAAGAACGAACCCGATTATGAAAATAAAGTTGAGTTCCAAATTTTAGGGAATTCGGTAGCAAAATAGATGGGACAGGTCTTGAAGAATGGTACTACTATAATACCATGTTGAAATTATAGGGATTTAGGTAGGGAAGGAAGAAAAGAGAAGATAAAGACTGAATAATATGAAATTGGTATTGACCTGATGTGTTATAATGTGATATAATATGATACAAAGTATGAAACACTAACTCCAATTTATACTAATACTATCCTAATTAATTAAGGAATCAAATCATGATATATATGAAAATATGTAAACAAATTCTTAGAGACAATCTAAGATACTAAAAATTATTTTGAAGATATAATCATAATGTTATATGATATCTTCTAGATATTCTAACATGGGGAATATGAATATGACTTTCCAGTGTCAACAGCTGATGATAAGTTTTATTTTTTGAGTATGCAGTCAGCTGAGTATAGGTTCATGCCCATAATTTATGCGTGAGTCTTTAAGAAATCTTTTATTTCTTCTGTTAATATCCTTTTTTTTTTTCAGAAATTTATATGCAGAAAATCGGTAATATGGGTCATGAGGTTGACTGACATTTGGTATGTTTTGACATTGTCAGGCTTGTTTTGAAGGGTAACAATATTGAGATGACTGCAGATATACTTGGTTTGACTATGGAGAGTAATGGAATCCGGATTTTGGAGCCATTTGATACATCCTTGAAGTACTCTAATGCTTCTGGGAAGACCAATATACATTTGTCTATTTCTGATATTTTCATGAATTTCACATTTAGTATCTTGAGATTATTTCTTGCTGTGGAAGATGATATTCTTGCATTTTTAAGGATGACATCGAAGAAAATGACAATTGTTTGCTCCCAGTTCGATAAAGTTGGAACCATAAAATGTATGTTGATATTGTCCATTTTTTTCTATTATGGTAAATACATTGACAAATGTGTTTAAGACTAGTCATATTAATTGCACCATGCAGATTCTCATACTGATCAAACGTATGTCTTTTGGAGGCCTCATGCTCCTCCTGGTTTTGCTGTACTTGGTGACTACCTGACACCACTGTTAGTAAAAGCATTTTATATTCTTCTGGTTAGATAGATTCCCCACTGACTTGAATGTTAATAATATGATGTATTTGCTCAACAGAGACAAGCCACCGACAAAAGGGGTTCTCGCAGTAAATACCAATTCTATAACAGTTAAGAGACCCATTAGTTTCAGATTGATTTGGCCACCTTTAACTTCTGTGGGCAATTCTGACACGTGGAAAGATGAGGCAGATGGCTGCTGTTCCATTTGGTTCCCGGAAGCTCCCAAAGGTTATGTTGCACTAGGCTGTGTAGTTAACCATGGAAGGACACCACCCCCTTTATCTTCTGTTTTTTGCATCCCATCCTCTTCGGTATCGCCATGTTCGTTAAGGGATTGTATCACAATCGGTACTACTGATATGTAAGTTGAAATTTTCTGTTGAGTTATATTGAAAAACATAAGTCCTGTTTACAATTTTATACTAAAGTTTAAACTACCAAACTTCTTAATTAGTATTTGATGTTAGTGCCTTCTGCTATGTATATATTTGGTAATGACATAAACATGATCGATTTGCTTGACTGTTTGTTACACTTTGAGCATAACTTCTGAGATGAAGGAATCTAATTTTCATGACTTTTTAAGTGAAGTTGGTTATTTTACTCACAGAATTTGTTTTAACTGTTGATCAGACATAAGGTCATGGCATTTTGGTCCCGTGAAAACTTAAGATTGTTTGTGTCTTGATTGCAGATGGTCATTCAGTGTGGCATTCTGGCGTGTGGATAACTCTGTTGGCACTTTCTTGCCAGTAGATCCTATCACACTCAGTTTGATGGGTAAAGCGTATGAATTGCGTTGTATTAAATATGATATTATGAAGGCATCCTCTGCAGTCTTAAGCAGTCTGGATTCCAATGCTCCTTCCAGTGGGCATCAAACCTTGCAATTCGACCAGTCTGCTAATGCAAATTCGAATAGGCGTTTTGAGCCTGTTGCTAGCTTTCAGTTAATATGGTGGAATCAGGGATTAAACTCAAGAAAGAAGTTATCCATATGGCGTCCAGTTGTCCCAATGGGAATGATATATTTTGGTGATATAGCTGTTAAAGGGTGTGTTTCACACTTACATGCTTTCTCTTTTCATCATAAAAGTTTTTCTCATGATTTCTTCTTTTGTTATTTACCAGTAATAGAGAACTGATGCAGTCTTCCGCTTTTTAGGTATGAGCCTCCAAACACCTGCATTGTTCATGATTCCAGAGATGAAAATATTTTTAAAACTCCCCTAGATTTTCAACTTGTTGGACAAATAAAAAAGCAGAGGGGAATGGAAAGTATATCATTCTGGCTTCCACAAGCTCCTCCTGGCTTTGTTTCCTTGGGTTGTGTAGCATGTAAAGGGAAACCTAAGCAAAATGAATTTAGCACATTAAGATGCGTGCGCAGTGATTTGGTTGCGGGAGATAAATTTTTGGAAGAAAGTGTGTGGGATACATCTGATGCCAAGCATGCAACGGAGCCATTTAGTGTATGGGCTGTTGATAATGAGTTGGGGTCTTTTATTGTCCGTGGTGGTTTCAAAAGACCCCCAAGAAGGTTTGCTTTGAAGCTAGCAGATTCTAGTGTGCCAAGCGATTCAGATGTTACAGTCATTGATGCTGGAATTGGAACCTTCTCGACAGCTCTTTTTGATGACTACAGTGGTTTGGTAAGTATGAAACACTGAGTTTGTAACTTTTTATACAATAATAACGAGTGCCTAATCATCTGGAAGCTTAAGTGGTTCCTTATCTGTAGGTTTTCTTCTAATGTAGAGAACTGCTAATTGTAGCATGCCTCTAGATTTAATATTAATCAAAATGGGTAGATGTTGACATAAAGTTACATATAGGTATACCTTTATCTACCTATTTGACTGCAATCACAATTTGATTCAAATTCCTTATCTGTAGGTTTTCTTCTAATGTAGAGAACTGTTGATTGTAGCATGCCTCTAGATTTAATATTAATCAAAATGGGTATATGTTGACCTAAAGTTACATATAGGTAAACCTTTATCTCCCTATTTGACGGTAATCACAATTTCGTTCAAATTCCGTCTGCCAAATTTGATGAATAGTTTGGAAGGAAAGGGAAATGATGCATGTATTTAGACCAAAGATTTCCTAGCTAATCTAAAATTTTATTCAATTATGTAATTGCTAAATGTTTTTAGTGTTCATTGGCCACGAAAGGAGTTATTGGTTTTTCATTTTGTGGGCTATAATTAATGTCATTCTTATTATTTGATATAAAATCATTCATTAGCTTTCACTTAACAACTTAAACTTTTGGAAGAGTTGGTTCTTGATATGGTATCACTATGGCAGTATGACTGAGTGGCCTAGAAATCGATCCTTGTTATCTCAATTCTTCAAGTTGAATTTCAGCATAAGGAGGGTAATTTTGTGCATTGTTTATGCTCCAAGCCTAAAAAGTTCTTGTGTAAGGTAGAGTGTTCGGTACAAAACTATTACTTGAGATTGGATAATTGTGTATCTAATACGAGCACATAGGGAATATATTTATATTAACAAGTACAAAAATTAATCTATCATATACAAGTTGTGGGACTATTCTATTATATACACTGTATTACTTTAACATATTATTCTAACACTTCCCCTCAAGCTGGTGCGTATATATTGTGAGCACTCAGCTTGTTACAAATGTATTCAATCCGAGGACCTCTAAGAGCTTTAGTGAAGACATCCATGATTTGATCCTTGGAGTTGACAACTGCCATTTTGATTTCAATTGACTTAATCTTTTCTCGAATGAAGTGACAACTGATCTTGTAAAGAACCAATTCAACTCAAAAGCTTAAGCTGTTGGGTGAGGGCCCTTTTAATGATTTGTATTATTCTCTAATACGCCTCCTCATAAGAGAGCCCATTAGACTTGAAGTGTGGACAACGTTGAGGCCTATCTACTTGTGTTAAGAAAGAAATTCTACTAGAAAGAAAGTGGGGGCGGTGAGGATTGAACCCGAAACACGAGGCTCTGATACTATATAAAGAATCAATTCAACCCAAAAGCTTAAGCTGTTGGGTGAGCGCCCTTTTAATGATTTATATTATTCTCTAACGCGCCTCCTCACAAGAGAGCCCATTTACCTATGTTAAGAAAAAAATTCCACTAGAAAGAAGGTGGGGGCGGTGAGGATATCAGCTAATTGACGTCCAGAAGGGATGTATGGAGTAGTGATCAACCTGCTATCAAGCTTCTCTTTGATAAAATGGCGGTCGATCTCAATGTGCTTAGTCCGATCATGTTGAACTGGATTATGAGCTATACAAATGGCGGACTTATTATCACAAAACAGCTTCATAGGTCCTTCACATCTTATTTTAAGATCACTAAGTATAATTCTTAACCACAATAATTCACAAATGCCTTGAGCCATAGCTTGAAATTCAGCCTCAGCACTCGATCTGGCAACCACATCTTGCATCTTACTCCTCCATGTCATTAGGTTACCACAAAGAAACATACAATAATCAGTGGTAGATCGATGATAAGTTATAGATCTAGCATAATCAGCATCGGTATAAACTTCTATAAAGAGATTGCCGTTACGCTGGAACAACAGTCCTTTACCAGGAGTGGCTTTAAGATATTGAAGAATTCTCTCCACTACCTGCATGTGTTTTTCTTTTGGATTATGCATGAACTGACTTACAATATTAACAGCATAAACAAGATCTAGTCTAGTATGAGCCAAATATATTAGTCTCCCAACTAACCGCTGATATTGTCCTTTATCAACTGGAGGATTCTCCTCTTTATAAGCCATCTTGTGATTCTGCTCAATAGGAGTACTAGAGGGTTTACACCCAAGCTTTCCCGCTTCTTTAAGAAGATCAAGGACATATTTTCTCTGGCTGATAAAAATTCCTTCCTTTGAATGAGCTACCTCTATCCTAGGAAATATTTCAATCTCCTAAGATCTTTAATTTCAAACTCAGAGGCTAGCCGTGCTTGTAGAAAATGTTTCTACGTAATATCATCACCTGTTATAATAATATCAACAACATATACAAGGAGCAGAGTTAGCTTCCCATCTTGGGAGTGCTTGAAGAATAGTGGTGCTTGAAGAATAGTGTGTGATCTCCTTGACTCTGTTTATACGCTAAAGCCAACATAACCTTAGTAAATCTCCCAAACCAGGCACGAGGAGATTGGTTCAATCGATACAAGGCCTTTTTTAACCTGAAAACTTTATTTCCTGCATCTATTGAGCCAAAGCCAGGTGAGATTTTCCTGTAGACTTCTTCTAACTCACCATTAAGGAATGCATTCTTCACATCAAATTGATTCATATCCCAATTGTAATGGGCAACAAAAACTTTCACAGTATTCTTCTTTGCAACTGGGGCAAAAGTTTCTTCATAATCAATGCCATAGGTCTCAGTGCAACCCTTGGTAACTAACCGAGCCTTATATCTCTCAAGAATACCATCAGAATTATATTCCAAGGCATAAACCCATCTGCACCCTATTGCTTTCTTTCGATCAGGTCTATCAACAGCCTCCCATGTTTTATTTTTCTCCAAGGCATTCATCTCATCTTGCATGGCTCGAGCCCAATTCTCATTTTTTAATGCTTCATGTGCTAATTTTATATTGAGATAGAATCTAGTGCGGAAATAAAGCTTTTGTGTTGCACAAAAAGGTTAGTAGAAGAGACAAAATTAGAGATAGGGTGTTGGGTACAAGATCTTTTTCCTTTTCTTAAGGCAATAGGTAAGTCATCAGAGGTATTAGGTAAGCTATTAGAAGCAACAGGCAAATCATTAGAGGCAACAATATTAGGTTCAGAAACAAGAGAAGTAATAATATTATGATCATAAACAAGAGATTCAGGACTTACCAGTAGTTTAGACGATTGAGGTTGCTGGTGAAGAAGTGTGGGCTACTTTCTCCTGTGATATAGCAACTCAGATGTCACAATCTCCCGTATTTCCGGTGTATCAGATGGGTCAGACACAGAAGAATCAAAAACAAGAGGAAGAGGTATAGGAGAAGACATGGAAGGTTCAAACTCAAAGATAGAAGGTGATTAATCTACTGAAGAATTGCTCTCCCCCTGAAGATGAGTACTTGGGAAAAATGGACAAAGTCAACATGCCCAAACACTTGTGGCTGAAGACTCTGCATAGAGGGAAAAAAGGGAAAGAATGAAGTCATTGAGTGAATAGGATTTACATTATCGAGAGGGCAAGCGGTTGATTAAGAAAGCTGTTGTAAGAATGGATCTCCCCAGTAGCACTTGAGTACATGATTTTGAAAAAGTAAGGCACGAGCAACTTCAAGAAGATGACGATTCTTCCTCTTAGCAACTCCATTTTGCTGAGGGTTGTCCACACAAGTAAGTTCATGAATCATGCCTGATCTTGGAAGAATTTGGAAAGACGCTGATTGACATATTCGAGACCATTGTCGAACCTTAGTCTTTTAATTCTTTTACCAAATTAGGTCTTAATCATTTTACAAAATCGAAAGAATAACTGTGGTACCTCAGATTTTTCATGCATTAAATAAGCCCCGGTTACACGAGTGCAATTATCAGTGAAAGAAACAAACCATTCATTACCAGAAGCATGAGGATCTTTAGAAGGATCCTAAACATCAGACTGAATAAGATCAAAAAGCTCAACACTTTTAATGGTACTAGAAGGAAAAAAGAGATGATGGTGCTTAGCAAACTCACAAACATCACAATGAAAACACTCAACAGACTTAGACAAAAATAATGATGGAAATAAAGACTTAAGCAAATGAAATGGAGGATGCCCCAAGCGTTTATGATGGAGCCAAATCAAAGAGTCGGCAGTAGACTGAGACTGAGTCAAGAAGGTGTGATCCTTAGCATACTTTGCAGAAGATTCTGGCACCAGATAGTACAGCCCACCTTGCTCTTTAGCACCCCCAATCGTCTTCCCTGTGGCTAGATCCTGAAAAACACAGTGAGTATGGAAGAAAGCTACAGTGCAATTCAAATCTTTGGTAATTTTATAGATAGAAAGGAAGGCTGTAAATATATGTTACCAGAACCCGCAACTGATGTATGTGAGCCCTCAGCTACGGCTATTGTATGGGTGCCAATAGTAGGGTTATAAGAAAGAAAGGAGTCAGCACAACAAGCTATATGATCAGTGGCACCAGAATCGATAATCCAAGAATAATTAATATCAGTACAAGAAGTAAGAAAAGAATGAGTAGTGGAGCTCATACCACTCATAGCTGAAGTACTAATACTAGATGGCTTACTCAGAGAATCATGCATAGTCCGAATCCGCTCCAACTCATCTCTGCGAATAGAAATAAATTTCGAAGATGTACTATTTGAACCCGCCATAATGTTGAGGTGAAAATCACACAAACGCAAATCCAAATGATGTCTGACCGAAGAAAAAAAAAAACATGGATCTGGAAAGAGGAGGCACTGTCCTAGAACAGTTTTTTTTTTTTTTTGGGTGTGAACAGTACCTCGCGAACAGTGCACGCGTGAACAGTGGCGATGAACAATACCTTTTTTTAAAAAAAAAAACGCCTATGAATTGATCGATCTGAAAAAACAGAGTCAAACAGTAGTCCTTTTGGTCCAAAAGGTCCTCGGGATCGAGAGCTTTGATACCGAGTTGAAAAAGAGATAATCTTATTGAT